GTGACGTGTCTAAAAGTAGGCAATATAATTTGGAACGTATTCCGTAGCAGAAAGCGGGTTTTCGTAAATCGTGTTAAGAGTTTAGCCGTACGGGACGACACGAGCACGGACTCTACCGCCGTATGCTAATAAGGAGGCGACCAAATGAAACAAAAACAAGATTGTCGGGTTTATAAAAATAACAGGCGAATCCACTTTCATTTTTATACAAAGTTCCGGCGCCACGCCATGCGCCATTGTTGTTGGAGCCACTACAAAGGGAACGCATTCTATTTTATTTCCCAAATGCGTTTTTGGAGAAAGCATTACATAAAAGTCAAGCCGCGACTTCCTCGCTCGTCTTTATATCACGTCTGTTCTCATAAACTTTTAAGTGTTCTTTACGTAATACTTATTATAATAATAACAATGTTAAAATCCATGTATTTTCACAGATCCCTCGTTGTTATTCATCAACCAACAAAAATATAAAGTAAATAAAATTTATTTGCTGGCTAATTTCAAAAGTTTTGTTTCGTGTACACTTTTGTTTCAAAGTTATTTTAGTTGAAGCTGAGTATGATTTTGTTATTGATTACCTACAGAATTAATGATCTATTCCAGTTGAAATCTGATTGTTTTAGTTTCATTATTTGGTGACTAAAACGTCGTTGAAGTGCTTCTTTACCAGAGAAGGAAACATTATTAACTATTTTTATATAAGTAAGTAAATAATGTAGTATGAGAAAGAACTAAACGGAATCATAAAAATCCTGTCATTTTCACAATACTCTTATTTTGATAATCTGAAGGAATTATTTGTTTCACTACTTGGGAACATTTCTGTGTTCACAAATTAAGAACTCACCGATGATTTATGAATACAAAATTCTAAGAGACCAATCAAGCATTTTGGATATCATAGCACTATGGGAACGAAATACAATGAAGTTCTGAATACATTTTAATACAGTACTGACAAGAGAAATCGTAAATTGATGTGAAATACTTGATGACTGTTTTGTGATATAACTCTATTGTATCTCAGGTACTCAACAGCTATGTTGTCCAGAGGTCGGTCACAAAGAAATATAAAAATTATTGTTTTTTTAGTTGTACCAAAATTCTTGGTCTAACTTCTGAGTCTGAATACGCCAAAGTATCAGGTAATACACACGTCCCCTTTGGCATACATAAGATACATGACATAACAGATGAAAAAACCAGTTCAATTGTAATAAAAGTGTACCTATTTGACTGCATGGTTGATTATCAGTTGCCTGGCCACTTCACCAATCAGCTGTGCAACCTGTCCTGAGTTGCCTGCATTACCGCACGCCACAATATTTTGTGTGATTCACAAATAGTTTTTTCGGGTCTGGGTGGCTCATATATGTTTGTGGGTGTGCCACGACACAGGAGAGGATCCTAGCGTAGGCCAATGTTTTATATAAAAACACGGGATAAAAAGAGTGATTTGTCTCATACTGGGTAAATATCGTGTTATTTAATGAGCAATAGAACTCGATAGTAATATTCGATTTGATATTATGCTCAGTTAATATCGATTTTAAGGTCATAGCAGGGCTGGTTCAGGTTACTGGTGCATCAGCACAATACCGAACGAAATCCTTTTGTTGACGCTCTCGACTGGGGCTTAGGGATCTCATATCAGAACTATCCAGCCGATATTGGTAGTCTATAGCGCTTAGGTTTTAATACCGTATTCTAAGATATTTATATAATAAATGTCATATTTACTTAATAGTGGTGTTACTTTCTTTTACGTAAGTTTGGTTTGGTGGATTAATGAAGCTTTAACACTTCTTCTACTTTAATTCAATACTTTATGCGGCATTCGCCACTATTATTTTCAGCATTTTATATGCTATGCAATGAAACAAATTTAGGTAAATGAGGATTAATTTTGCTTAACATCGTATAATATATTTTTGACATCCAGTATTCAGTTACAAAATAGTAGTTTACTAGGAGAATTATTTGAGAAGCTAATTAATTGGAAATCAACGCAGTAATTAGAGAATACGGTAGCAGCAAATTTTCATTCAAAGTGAAATTTTGTTAAAAATTGACGGGGATTAAGTTACCGGTTTGTGGGCGCTTCTGCAGTCGTCGCTTATGAGGATGGATTACGATGCGAACGTCCGCGGCAACTGATAAATTACTTCATAATACTGCCGTATGTACCATCGACGAACATAAATGAAAATTAATTTATCAAAAACCATTACGAAATATCGTTAAAATTATTTAAAATTAAAATTAAGCCGTACATTTACAAATAACTTACAATGAACAAGCAATATATGACTTCCGAAACTCAAATAGCGAGTAGAGACTTACAAAGTTGCGTCACTGTCTGTCATTACATTATTAACCAATCTAAGAACATTATCGGCTTTGACGAATATTCGACGCAATGACGCGAAGTATTTGTGGATTAGTGTCTCATCCAATTACAAGTGAGAGAAACTTCAAAGCCACGGGGCAAGACGTCGTGCCGTGGGCAATCAAGATTGTTTTTCGTCAAATGACCTTCAGAGAAAGCGTAACATTTGACCGATCTTTACTTTTGAAACGATTATTTAGATGAAACCAGTTATAACTGATTTCTATTTGGTAATAAGATTGCGATCGGTTGATGGTTAACGTAATTCTTCAATTAATTGGAGTTACCATCTTTCCTTTTTCGGTAAACATTGTTGGAAACCGAAGTTTCAATCTGCATAGAAAAAATGAAAGGACTACTTGCTTGATAGGTACACTTGTTTGACAAATTATAAATAAAAGGTATTCGTTTTCAACATTCTTATAAAACAAATATACGAGTGAGACTCTGTGAGATTGATCAACGCCTTCTTCTGATAAAGAAAATTAATTAAATTACTCCATCGGTTTAGATATCGTGGACGCGCGAAGCGTGGGTTTTCGATTCCGTTCAAACGAATGTTGAAATCTTCATTTATGGCAATGAATTTGGAAGCATACGATGAGTCTTGAGATATTAAGAAATATCACCCACAAGTAAATCGATCGTCGATAGTATAACTAATACAAGAATGATTTTTGCAGCGATCTAAGCAAAAGAGCCAATATTTATAACAAAAAAATGTAGGTATACCAAATTACAGATTATTTAATAACAAAACACTTTACATAGAACCACAAACGTCTAATTAGTACAATTAACACATCGAGAATTAAGGAAAAACACACTTAACAGCTACTTAATCCAATATGTGACGACCTCATTTTGGCTTAAACTGACGTAAAGAATAATTCCTTTAGCTAATTACTAGCATATAATAAGTATATAGTATAGGTATACAGTCATGTAGGCCGAGCAGATTTAAGTCTTGTCTAATTAGTTTCATAATACAATCAGATAAAGGCTAAACGGAAGACGTTTGTAAGTGTCAACTGTAAACGAAAGTTATGATTATTAGTGTACAATAATAGTATGTGATATAACAGTATCCGTGTACCTACTATATGTTAACTAGTTATGTTCTCTGGATTTACTTGCTCACTTGTTTTTTTTTATGGTTGCATATTATAATATCATGTCTGCTAGTTATCCTGCTCCGGGCATGATGGCGCTATATAATTGCACTAAGACTCATAAACCCGGCTGGACATCGACCCATCAGTAGTGGTATGATTTTTTTAAAAACATAGGCCATATTAAAATGAGCTTTTGACCCAATGGCTGGCAAACCAACAGACGTGCAACATGTCACGGGTTCACAACTCTTTGTGTGTTATCCTAAAAGTGTTGTTCTGGCTCTCAGTGTGATGTTTATGTGAAATTGTATGTTTGTAAACGCACCCACGGTACAGAAGAGAATCCTAGTGTGGGACAAAGCTTATTTTAAAAGAAACAACAAACATTACAATGATTGTGTCTACAATAAAAGAAATGAACAAGATATGTAGTAGTAAAAACATTTTGCCTAAACTTTACTCTAAAATTTCTTTACGCCAAAGCTGTCGTAACGAGGAAGTTTCACTTAAGTTTCTAAGCAGTTTTCGGCATCAATTGGACAGATAGACAGACATATTAGGAGCTTTACATGTGTATTATTGAAGTAACGGTGGTGGGAGGCGCCGGCGCCGCTGCGGCCTTGGAGAAAGTGTATGAGTGCGGTTTCACCTCGGATCTGAGATCTCGGGTCTCAGCTACCGAGCCCAGCTAATCTCCCCGGTACTCACGTACTGGACGATATCTCCTTTGCAGCTCATTGATTTTATACACCATGATTTACTGCGATCTCTAACAATTACGGTTTTTCGCACAGTTTTCCGTTAACGTCTTTAATTTACGACATCAATGTATCTGTTGATTTTCCTAGCAGATAAAGAATACAGACACGTTTTGTTAGTTTCTGTATATGTTATATAAACTTTTGTCTTATTGAAACTTGTCACTGGAGAATTCCAAAATGTTGCAATGGACAGTATTACTCCCATTGTTGATAATGGCCAAAGTAATTTTGTTACTCGTTACGAGAACGCACATTAGTGTCGAAGGGCTCACTAATATTGTGACAAAACTATTTTCCATGGCGACGTAACATTGTCAGAATTATTAAGTCACTCGGATTTTGCAGCTACAATATTAAAATTTCATAAAGTTCCCCGCTGTCTAGGGCTTACTCTTACATAAGAGCTTTGCTGCATATTATTAAGCTCGGTCGTGGTAAATCTCTATTCTTCTAGAGTTAGTATGAAGGGATTAAAGAAACCAACGCAGGCAAGGAATTATTTATGCAAATGTCCGTTTTGCTACAGCAGGCGGATGTTTTCTTGTAGAAAATTAAGTAAGTACCTCTGTACTGAGTACGTTGAATGAACACTGTTGTATAATGCTAAAAGAGATTATTTGTTGTATACGAAGGTTAACATTGTAAAGAATGTTCCTGCGAATTCCTATTTGAACAACTATAAGGCTGTAACTATGTCGGTAGGATAAAAGTTTTCGGAAGAAATGTAAAAGTACGATGATAAGAGGACGGATACACGAGGAGGTATTGTAAGTAGAGCGAACAGAAAGTTGCGTAAGGGAAGGGGCAGCGGAGCGGACATTACTCCAAACATACTTTTCACAGATCCAAAGATAACGCACAGGTACACTTGTATGAACATACACACGTAATGTGTAAGACGAATTAGCGAACATAATTATGTATGTGTTGGATTATATTACATATGTTACGCATGAACCTCAAAGTAGGAAGTTATTAAGAACTTCCTCAATTTGAATTAGTAAAGTCTCAAATGTGATTTTAATTGAAACTAATTTCTTACAATTTGAATCAAAGCCAAGATCACTGAAGAATTCATATTCATACTCATATTGCACGCTCCAGCTTTTTCAATGTTGCAATTTGTTTACATGAGTTGCCATTAATCAGTTCTAAATAAAGGAAAGATTTAAACTACTAACTAATTTTGCACATACCTACATTAACACACCTAGTAACAAAAGTGTTGATTTAAATCGACTCGGAATTTAAGCAAAAGAAATAAAATATATCAAACAAACGTGGCAGCCCTACCATTGTGTGAAATGTTGGTTGACCATCTAATACTATGGATCTGTAAGTTATTACGGCCAAGTAAAATGACAACATTGTTTAGTAATTTGTCTGAACAATAATTTAGGAGGGCGACTATAAATGAAATTGTTTGTTTATTATTTTTATCAATGAAAAAGTTTTGTTTTATTTTAGGTAATTAAACAAGAATTTTTCTTGCAGGCGTTGGTGGCGGTGGGTGGCGGGTGACGGCGCTTGCGCGGCAGCGGAGCGCGGTCACGAGATGAGCGTGGCGAGCGCGCCTCCGCCGTCCGCCGCCGAGGCGCTGTCCGCGTTGCTGTGGCAGCCCTATGAGTGCCGTTCGCCGCCCCTCGCGCGCTCGCGCACAGACACCGCGCTGCACCGCGCGGGGGGCGCCGACCAGTCGCCAACCGGCGGTCGACATGCGCGCGCGTCAACCCGCGCCTACATCGATATGCGGCTGCCCGTGCCCGCGCCCGGCCTGCGCAAGTCGGACTCGGTCTCGGTGCGCGTTCCGGGCGAGCCGAGCCGACAGAACGTGTCCAGTGTGAACGTGAACGTGAACATAGTGGAGGTGCAGGATGCACCCGTGAATGTGAACAGTGCGGTGCAGACGGAAAGGGAGCGGAGTGTGGCGAGTGCGGAGTGCCAGACGGAGGAGCCAGCCCGGCGGCGGCGCGTGCGACGTGCGCGAGCGCCGCGGGTGCCCGAGCTGCTGGAGAACGTGCCTCCTCCTCCGTACAGCACACTGCCTCCGCCACCGCTGCCGCATCCCGTGCCAGTGCACCCGCCGGCGCCCATACTGGCTCCGCACCCGCCAGTGCACCCACCCGTGCATCCGCCTGCACATCGCTTCCCCTTCCAGCCAATTCCTCTCAGGTGAATACAAAACCATAACCAATAAACCGTAAAAGATACATGTAAAGGTTGGGACCACGTAAATAATCACATACAATGCTCGAAAAGTTTTACTCCCTAAAATATTTGATTTCGTAAAATAAGAGAAGAGAAAGATAAAAGATCGTGCGTTGAAGTCTTTTGTTAAGATTAGGCTATTTGTCTATAATTATGTTATTAGTATGAAAACATTACAAATTGTATAGTTTCATATGTTACGTGTGTAAGTGTTCATTAGCTGTAAATGGCCATTACGTGAACTGAAATTAAAGTCATTGTTTTCAACTCACATTACGTAAATGTCTCAAGTGAAGTGATTAGGTTCGTAGACCTGCTACGTAAACACGGAGTTGTGAACAAAAATGAATATAATTTCAATTTCTTGTAAACTAGACTGTAGGATTAAGTCGCAAACAGAAAGTTTCAACGAAAAGTAGAGCGAATCAGCGTCGACGGTGGCCTTGCAAATGAAAGACGAGAATAATTTTCTCTTTAACATGTTGGGAATGTTAAAAGGACAAGGAAGTTCAAACAAAATTCTTTCTATTAATTTAATGAACGGATTAAGAATATAAAATAAAGGAACTGGGTATGAAATAAATATCGAAGTAGTAAAGTAAGAGAGCAAGTTTGAAAGGTACTGTTCAGAATGTATAGAATTTATTACTTTGCTTCCGAAGTGATAATTACACAATTCTACAAGTACTATTAAACCATGGAAAGCAAATACTAGAAGAGAGCAATATCTCGAAATACTGGTCTGACTGACATCTTCTGCCTTACCCAGAGTCCCAAACAATTGGATAATGACAAACGAGCAACAAGAAATAATATTTGATTAGTGAGGCATTCCAAGATAGCTTAAGACCAATTTATGACCACCCACAACTTCCTCTCAATATTCTACGAGCAATATATACTATGCTATAGATATAAAGTTACATAAAACTAAATTGGATCTCCAAGTACACCTCCCCCTATCAAATAAACGAATTGTCTTCACAATCACGCCAATAAATCAACGATTTTTGGGGAGGGACAAATTATTTGGGGTGGACTGGACTTACTAACCGAATAGCTAATACGATTCTGCTATAAAAGTTTATTGTTTTCTGAAAACATTCAGAAGAAGGATAACTGGTATCCCACGTGGCAAAGGGATAAATGCAGCCGCAGTCTTTCTAGCAGCCTAATCATTAAAACAATACTATTAACAGACAGGACTCAGGTTATGACATCAAGATAAAAAAAATCAACATATTCACGCATTCATAACAGTAGTTAGCACGGTTGTAAGAATCAGTTAATTATTCACACAATAATATTGTAATCGTAAAACTTGGCCTTTCATATGCAGTATTGGTGTGCTTATCGAATAAAATATAACCTTGGATTGCACAGCAAATGTCGTCTTTGTAATATTGGAGTGAAGCAAAGATAAACACTCATTTAAAATATGTTGATTGTTTACGAAATATTTTGAAATAATATTATTAAAGGGACTTTTGAATGCACCCAATGGCACATTTCTGGATGGATGTAATAGACGTTAAATAAAGTGTTTGCAATAAAAGTAGTTTTACTGAAACGGTATCATATAGTCTGTGTACAAACGCATTGTGTGGAAATCTAAAACATGAAAAAGAGACACCGTACAAGAAGAAAGTACACTTACATATGTATATAGAACAACAAACTGATAATGCCATTATTATGAAAAAGACTGGTTTCTTTGCAGTACATTAGAATCTGTTAATTTCTATGCCAAATCCCTAATTGAAAGAGAAAAGACACACAAAGAAAGAACTCGTATTACCAGTAATATTAACAACAACACCTTTTTGTTTTTTGGTGTCGGTTTGGAAAATCCTCATGATGACCCATCGCCCTCGGGGAAGGGCGACTCTTACTGACTAAAAACCAATCGGGTGTTCTTCCACTTACCCATGTGTCGGAGGGGAGGGTATCGCCGAAGCATTCATCGCAACCCAAATCATTCGTCGCAACCCAACAACACCTAACTATAGATTCGTTGACAGTTGCGTTTTCACCACTCTCCCAAAATCTCGTCACCAAAATCATTTCGATTCGATCTACCGCATATTACGAAAGAAATATTTTATTATGTACACATTGTATGTGTATTCGTTACACATCAGGCGTGCGCAGTTGTTTTTTGTAATTGAAATTGTTTCGGTCATGCAACGCCAAACGCTGAGTCGCTCAGTAATGGACGCTAACTAGGGTGGCCTCGTTATGTAAGCGGACTGTTTACACATATCAGACAAGGTCGTAATACCATTTTAAGGATTCAGTCTTGGCACATTGATTGGAATTCTGGAATTACTGGCATATTTGCTTTCAATAACACTGGTGTTCCAATTTTGAATTATGTTAGTTCTCTTGGTAGATACAAAGTTTTCTTTCGACTCTATTTATTATAAGTCTAGCTACTGTCCCGCGTTTTCACACGCTGCTCGGTTCCTAAATATCGTAGTGTGATGTTTTATATCCTATAGCCTTCTTCGATAAATGGACTAATAAGCACAAAAATAATTGTTCAATTCGAACCAGTAATTCCGGAGAATAGCGCGTTCAAACAAACAAACTCTACAACTTTATAATATGTAGTTTAGGAAAAACTATTATTCTACCTTATAACGTTCCGTATGACAATATAACTATATCATTATACTATATCATCGATGAAAGATGTAAGTCCAAATGATTAGCAGTTTCAACGAGACAGAGACCATCTTGAGGCGAGGCTTGCTCCGTAATCTTGGAAAGCTAAGTCGCGTCTCCACGAGAAATCTCAAAGCATTAGAGATTAATTTAACGACTTACTGTGGTTACAGAGATATTGAAATATTTATTAAAACGTGACTTACCACGTGTTTCAAGGTTTGACAGAACAACTTTCGTGATATTTGGCAACATTGTATTTGAATGATTTCTGTGCAAAATATATTAAAATAAGAATGCACATAAATAAATGAAAGAGATTACTGAACAAATAAACTTAATAATTCAAGGTTATTTAACACAAAAAAGTTTAAACAAAGAAACAATAAAAAAGATGACAATACAACCTTTTTTAATCAAGGAAATTATACTATTGAGCATTCATTAGGAAGTCCAAAAAAAAGAAGTAAAACCTGCTTATTGAGTTAGAAACACTAGTACTAGTACTCATTGTGGTAACAGAAACAGGTTTGATACACATGGTGGAAAGTGGGAGCGTAGTGCAAACAAAACAGAAGAACAACAACATGCAAAGATAAAAAAAATCTATAATAGACATAATAATCCAGAACTACCTACAAAGAAAAACACTTCAAGATGTCACCAGCCAGATACTTAATTCTATACATTTGTAATTTAACGAAAAGCAATAATGTTGTGAAGTTTATTCTCGTTGTATTTCTGTTTAAATTATTTAGATTGAGATGGCGGCATCGAGGCTGCAGCTAACACAAGTCAGTTCGTGTTCAATACAACCTAGCGAGGTTTTAGTGCACCGAGCATTCAGCTTGCCTTGATAGAGACTGTACATTCTATTGTGTAGAATTATTTCATACATTTGATTTAACGACTGACAATTTCATGTTGAGATGCTGCTTTTGTTTTGCTAATAACGAGTTGGTTTGTGTGGGAACGTTATGAAATATGACAAACGCTTGTTATGATCATGTAAAATTGATTTAAGTTAATGTCTATCAGTAGGGTAGGGACGTTAGTATTTTGATTGATACCGTACGCTATCTATGTGCGGTTTTTTTTAAGGTAAAAAAAAAAAAAAAAACGTTGCCCCTCACATTAGGATTTTCTCCTGTGTCGTGGGTGCGTTTACAAACATACAATGTCACATGCACATCACACCCAGACCCGGAACAACAATCTGTGGATCACACAAAGAGTTGTTCCGTGCGGGAATCGAACCCGCGACACGTTGCGCGGCAGCCAGTTGCCCAGCCACCGCGCCAACCGTGCAGTCAAGTTTACCTAAACCTTTTCCAAATATTTAGCCCTAAAATCACTAGAATATATACAATCCATTTGAGAACGTTCACCGATAAACTAATATATCGATATTAATTGCTCTCAATCGAGATATTGATTGCATACATTGCGGTCCAGTTGCGAGACGATGTAAGTGCTACGAATAACAGCTTAATTGTATTAAATGTTTGGGAACTAGAAATGTTTGCTCTGTAACAATTAGGAATGTTATTATTGCAGTTTGTATGTTGTTGGATAAAATATCTTTACATACTGCTGATATTGTAAAGGATTTTGGGATAAACTGTTAGCTTAGGACTATCAAAAGCTATGTTTTATCAGCAATGATTATTTTCATCAATATGTTGGAAAAAAATGGAAAACTAAATTTCTCTTCACTATATATAATTTGGTTTCTAACTAAAGTTCCTTACAACATAATCCGAGTAGGTACGTCGTTCGCTATTTCGTCGTCTTCTCTACCAGCGCAAGATGCAATTTTGTATTTCTTAGAAAATGGGAATTTTAAAAACTGCATTCCAATTCGAAGCATTTTGATATTAAGGTTTATCTTTTATACTTATTGCAATACATTTTCGTTTATTATATCGAATGCCTATATATTTTCATTTTATTTATTCCAAGCTGTCCGCCCGGTTTAACTTTGAAAGGATTTTTTCATAGTCTGCAGTTTATATTAAAGTATCTCAAACAACTTTAGCGTATACACTTTTATTATACATTGATTCATAGTCTGTTATTGGAATTTGAAACGAGTGAATATACTAAAGGTCAGGCTAAGTACTTGAAAGTTATATTTAACTTATTTAGATTTCTGGAGTGTTATTGAACACTGTTTAGACTAGAAATTCTTGTTGAAACGAAATCAAATTTCGCACTAAATCTGTAAACAGTTGGAGGGGAATTGTGTGTCTTCGTTTATAGGAAATCCTATTTCAAGCAAAACTGTTTGAATTTAT